GTTCTGTTCGTGGAAGGACAACCATCGTACCGGCGACTGTCTTTCCACTGCTGACTGATGCACGTGGGGAGTGAAGGCCGGCCTCTTGTCAGCTGATCCCACAGAAGAGCTGATGTAGCTGCTGAAATGTCAGAACACAGTGCATCATGATGTCCGTCATGTAGCCACAAATAATAATCCCTTCCACGGTTTTGCGTTTCTGCGGTTAAGTGAACATGATTTACTGCGATGTTGACATTTAAAATGTTCGCTCAGGTCATAGAAAACTCCGCAGCTTATCCCTTCAATAACTTCCTGAACGAACAGTGAGTCAACGGGGAGTTAGCGAGATGTTTTGACTTCAGTGTGATGTTTTTGCCAGATGTTGTGGCTGCGGTCCAGACGAGATAATGCGTGGCTGTAATATACAGTGCAGCTGATGGGCAAGTCAAAACGCTAATGTCTACAGGAGAAGAAAAAGATCCAGTCCCTCAGAACGAATCGCTACCTGTTGCTCATACAGCTTTTGGGTTTCGGGCAAATGATGTCAAGCAAAACTAAAAATATAGGACTTGTGTCTGTGCTGCAAAGAAACACAACTAACTTGTTCAGTCACTTGAAGAAACAGCACAAACTGTAGTATGCTAAATAACACTGCTAACATTATCTCAATAAATCTCTATTTTTGGCCAGCATCAACTCAGACATCTATAACAGCTACATTATACATCATCTTATCAATTGACATAAAGCGGTGCTCTGTTGATTTGATTTTTAAAAGTTTTCGTACAATTTAATTTTGCTCCGAGGAGACACACTGAATAAGGACCAGTGTTATTTTTGATACAAATACTTGTACCGTAAATTCTGGACTGTAATCCGCTACTTTTTTTCACACGCTTCGAACGCTGCAGCTTAAACAATGATGCAGCTATTTTGTGGATTTTTACGAATTTGCGACAACGAAAGAGAGACCGAGGACGTGTGCGACGCAGTAATTCTAAGGCTGTTCAATTCCGACACTGAAGAAGACGACTTTAATGTGCAGGATGAAGATGAAGATAGCGATCATTGACTTTTCCTTATTTTTTTTAATTAACCGTGTTACAGGCCTTGTTCGGAAAAAAGCATTTACGTATTTGTGTATGTTACTGGTACGTATTTAATTCAAAGTTAAATCTTTCTGTGTAAATATCTCGTGTTACAACGTGGACACCTGCGGCTTATAGACAAGTGTGGCCTGTATATGTACAAAATTGTTTTTCTTTTTGAAGTTAGTGGGTGCGGCTTATATTCAGGTGAACTCAGTAGTCTGGAAAGTACAGTGCATTAGTAAGAATGTGACAAAATGAAAAATATGCTGTCCCTATAGTCAATGAATAATCCTGATAAATAATAGTGATCTCAATATTTGTTAAAACAATTGTGATGCGCACTTAAACAAGAATCACACAGCCCTGCCACCACCTACCTAAACAGTTTTGCAGATGATCCACACCCTTCATAGCGTCGATATTCGCTGACGGCGGGGGAATCTTTGAGCAGGATGATGCTTTCTGTCACACAGCAGAAGTTGGTCAGGAATGGTTAATGGAACAAGTGAGAGAGTAAGTAAGATATATCGTAAGAGAGTTCAAAGTGTTGACTCCAAATTCCTCAGATCTCAATCTGATCGAACATCTGTGGGATGTGCTGGAAAAACAAGCCTGGATCCAAGGAGGCCACACCTCAGCACTTCCAGCACTTCAAGGATCTTTTGCTAATATCTTGCGGCCTGATAATACTGGAAACCTTCAGAGGTCTTGTGGATTCTCTGCCACAAAGGATCAGAGCTGTTTGGACGGCATGAAAGAGGCCCACGCAATATTAAATTGGTTGCTTTAATGTTGTGTTTGATCAGTGCACAAGGTGATTTTGAGGAAGCTTTAGCACACAATATGTGGTAGTGTTGGAAAAGAATATGTCTGAATTACTATCATCTGCCAGCAGGGATTTGTGGGACTCTGCAGTGCAGAAATAAAGGAATTCCTTTTTAAGGAAGAATACTCCCTTAAGTTCTTGTTTTGACTGACCTACAGTAGTTTTACTAGTAGAGGTGTATTCCTCAGCGTGTCTGTGTCAAGCACACACACCATAACTCTGATTGCTCCCATGCTGAGGTGAGGTAAAACAGATACTTGAAATTTACAACCACAAGCCTGTGAAACATGGCTGTACAGCCTGATGCCAAGTTTCCCTTGAAAAATACGAGTCTGTCATTGTCCTGTTTACTTTTTTTTCTCCCCTAAATGACATTGTCTCAAACTAGCAACTCCCCCGTAATTTATCAGTGTTTTCCTTTTTTGTGTGCTTGCTTTTGTAGTGTGTTGTCATAGTATGAGACATTTTCTACTCACAACTACTACAAAAACAGAAAAACAAGGGAATTCTTTTGTGGATCTTTTTTAGGCTGCAGATTGTGGGCGCTTTGTTGATCCATAACTTGTGATTATCTCTGGCAGCCCATAGATTCTGCTGAGAGTGTTGTTGAACTCAGGTTTGTTCTCTTAGTTTTTTGTCATTTTTTTTCCAACTTATCTGTTGGCTTTCCTACTGGTCTCATCAATTAAAGTCTTAGATCTTGGCCCCCTTGGCCTGACGGTAACAGTGGCTTTAATGGATGCACGGTTTCACCTGAATATCTATATTTATTTTATCGGAATTAAGTTTGCAACTCACAACTTTTTTTGATAGTCAAATAATATTAATTGATAATTCTGAAATCACAATATTGAGCTGTAAGTTTTTGAAGACAATAAAGAAGCTTGTTGTGTCATTTTGTAAAATTTGTCGGGTTTTACTTCTAAAAATCGAAGTTGCTAACACCTAGCCGTGCTGTATTGTTAATTAAGACAAAGGTTCATTATTTTTCATTCATGTAGTGTTCCTTGACCGTGCTCAGAATGTGAGGAAGTGGTCCACGAGTATATAATCCAGTACAGACACGTCATAGGTGCCATAAACTGTTTACACTCACATTAGGCGGTGACACACTTCACTCGAGCAAGTGGCAGATCCTACATGTCAGAGCGTTCTGAATCAGCACAAAAGACACATATGACAACATCAACAACTAAATTATTAGGCAACCAGTCCAGTCTGACAATTTATTTATTTATTTTTTTGGATTATGCATTGTACCCTTAATCTGAAATGAAATGTGAAGAGTGATATGAATGATATGACCAAGATGAATGATAATAGTTTTTCTTGGCAGACTTCATTTTAGTCGATCCATCATTAATCATGCTGTTATTAATTTCCCCTTATCTAAAATAGATTCTCATTAAAAAAAGAGCTATAATTTCGTTCATCCATTCATCATGCCGTATGTTGTGGTGGCAGACTAAGCAAGGTAAGGCTTGTCCTCATCTTACCCTCCGCGTCCCCTTGGTGTATCCCAGGACGTTTGCCGACCAGATGTGAAATCGAATTCATCCTCCTCATTAGAAGGCAAAAATTGGCAACCACCACTTTATTGGGTAATTCGCGCTCTCCCTAAACCCTGTGCAAGAGTGAGGAACCCAACGATGTTAGAATCCCTTTCACCCATGATGCAACGTTACTGTGGAGCTTTTGAACCACCTCTGCAAGGCGAACAGGACCCTGATGTCCTTCAACAGTACTTGTTCTGAGAGGGAAAAGTTGCTCATGTTGAGGAGTTCCTCAGTGAGCATCAGTTGGCAGGATGTTCTCCACCCTACTGCAGCCACTTTAAATCAAAGTCTTTGCAGCCAATAGAAAGCCCCGGTGATCACAAAATCTTCAGAAGTCTTCAGCTCCACAACTCTCTTCACTCCTGGTTTCCACCCGGGCTCTGCTACCTCCCATTCCAGCTCAGATCTGTCAAAACGTGGGAAGCACTAATCCCTGCAGGCCATAACTAACGAGTGTTGGTAATGGAAATGTGGCAGCAGTAAAGTGTTCAAAGATGTCAGTGTGCGTAGAAGTTGTGTAATGTTACAGTCCTGCAGTGCAACAATGGGGCAGATACTCACTACAGGATCATTTTAAAATAAGCATTACTTTGTTGTTGTACAGCTCTGACAACATATTAAAAATATTCTTTCAATATTTGTTAGAAATGAAGAGTTCATTTGCAATAACTCCATTTTTGTAGTTTTTCAGAAAACGTATTTTTTTTGCTGTTTGCTTGAGATAATATCAGTCAAACTGAGGCTGAGTGGATTGGACTCAGTAGAAACGACAAAACTAGAGATAACTTAAGTTTGATTGATGTTGTTTCGGGCTGCAAGGTGGAGCAGTTGGTAGCACTGTTGCATCGCAGCAAGAAGGTTGCCGGTTCGCGTCCCGGTGGGGGCACCGGAATCTTTCTGCGTGGAGTTTGCATGTTCTCCCCGTGCAGCGTGGGTTCTCTCCGGGTTCTCCGGCTTCCTCCCACACAGTCCAAAAACATGTTGAGGTTAATTGGTGATTCTAAATTGTCCGTAGGTGTGAATGTGAGTGTGCTTGGTTGTCTGTCTCTAAGTGTAGCCCTGTGATAGACTGGTGACCTGTCCAGTGTGTCCCCTGCCTTCACCTTTAGTTGGCTAGGATAGACTCCAGCCCCCCACGAACCTAGTGAGGATTAGGCGGTGGCATTAGGCATCCATTATAGATAATGGATGGATGGATGATATTGTTTCAGGTAGACGATGGAAAAGTGGGTTTTCTGAAGGTTTGTGAAGATCTTCAAATATTTTGTCTACTAGTTGTTTTCTGTTTTTTTGTCCTTTATCTTTATTTGAATTGTAGATAGCAGTAGATTTTTTTCCCAGTCCTGCAGAGTTTTACTGTAATAATTCACTGTACAGTATATGGAACATAGTTTTCCTTTAGTTGATGAACATGGAAGTGAAACGTCCCAGTCATTTGGGATGAGAGTCCCTCAGTCAGCAGCAGTAGTTGGGTAAGTTTCTGTAGCTGCAGGTGAAGACGGATCAACGTCTGAAAGCCTGAATCAGAACACAACACACGTGGTCTTCAGGTGTGTGTAGAAGAAATTCTTTATTATCATAGTGTGAATACTTTAGACTTCTTCATAGATAGTTGTCACTCACGTTCAACAGGACATCGGTATTGTACACAGTATTTCTGTAAACATAGTCCAGGAAAGCCGGGGTGCATCTGTTCACATTCACATGTGACAAAGTGGCCCAGGGTTACACTGAAGAACATTTTTTATTTATTTTTTTCTAAATAGTTCATCTTAGCTATACATCAAACACCATGTTATGACTATGGACAGTTACGTTTAAAATACTTTACATTCACGTTTTGCTATAAACAATTTGATAAATACAAGATTAGATATAACAAAAGAATATATTTATATATTTTTTTTATATCTTCTTATATATTCCACATATATTTTGTTTTTTTCTTTGTGGCTTTATTCCTTTTCAGTAAGGGTTTTCTCTTATGATTCAAGGTTAAAAGTCAACTTCATTCCAATAAATAAGTTTTTTTTCTTTTTCTTAAAAAAAGAGAGAAACAGAAAAAGAGAATCATATCACTCCTAAAGGAACTTATTGGCACTTCTATGGTGATGAAAAAAGAGGAACACCATAAGTTATGCTTCAAAGGAAAATGCAAGAGTCGTCGTCATGCAGTTAATAGTTAACGTACAGTACAGTGAAAGAGGCATTTGGCAGTTGTCAGTTTTCCACGTACTGTACACCAACAGCATATCGTATGGTTGGCAACGAAATCTCAACACACACATTCGCACACACACACACACACACACACTCCTCTCTCTCATTGTGTCTTTAGGAGGAAAAGCCACAGATATTCCTTCGAAGCACTGAACAGACAAAAGTTTGGAAAGTAAAAGTCACACAACAATAATACAAAACTATCCGTAACAGTTCCGCCATTTGTTTTGGTGATATATTTATTTTTTTCCCCCCTTCTGGCACCTTCAGCGAGCAGCCAGGCACTGACCACCTTCATCTTTCTCTTTGATTTAGGCTCGTTTGTGAGTCTCGCTCTTTCAAATCATAAGAGTTCAACGAAGCCTGCCGCAGTTCTTTTAAAGCTCTGGAGAGATGCATGCATTATTCCCTTTTTTTTTTTTTTTTTGTAGCGCAGTGTGACACAGAATTAACATTATATCTCGCCTTTTTTTTTTTCTCTGCTAAGGAGCCTGACCTGGATGTGCTGCGGACCTCTTTGACTTTAATGCCAAAGGACTGGTTTGATTTTAGCGGGTTCCTGAGTCAACACAGTTTATTTTATTTCTTTGTGTGCGGACCGTAAGAAACGTGGCGTGTCTAGCTTGATAAGGCACTGACACAGATAAGCCGCTGTGCCAACAAAATGGCAAGAACAGAGATTTTTCTTCAAATAATAACTTGATAATAAGTAATCACAGAACTAAAAAAAACAAAAACAAGTTTAAAAATGTAAATATTTTGTACCCCTGTATAGTAACACACAGGGAAATGGGATTGTTTGGGTTCTAATTGTAGTTTCTATCCCTTAGAAGAGGTAATAGTTACATCACAATCTATAAAAAATCATAAGTTATGAACAATTTCAATATTATGTAAGAGCCACACTGATGTCCATGGGCAAAAAAAAAGCTGCAAATCTTTCCCATGGGGTGTCCCCTCCCGTATGAGCTGAAGCTGATGTGTGATTGTATGAACAGGCGTAACTCAGAATAGTCGAAGCCACTGTTGACAACAAAGGCCTTGGGTGGTAAATGCACAGGGAGACGAGGGAGGCTGTTGAAAGAGGTTGGAGCCCGTTGCTGTCCTTGTCTGTCCGGCCAACTGGTGGACCACAGGAACTCCAAACTCCAGAAGCGAGGATGGATGACGGGATTCTGCATGTCTGTGATTAGATGGCCAACCAGTGCCTGAGCTGGAAGACAACAGGTAGACTTAGCTGGTTTCATTTTAATTTTAAACCTGCTGACTCTCTTACATCTCTTCCTTTTATTAGCCAATATTTAAAAGAGCAACACCCAAAAGTAATATATGTTTTTTTTAATATATATATTTTTAAAATTAGTAGTCAGTGTAATTGTCAATTCATAGTGAGTACAGTTCACGTTCATGCTGTCAGAAAAGCACAGAATGCTGCTCTTACTTTGAACTGCCGTACATTTCCTTCAGCCACCAAATGATGCTCGTGTTCTGGAGTGATGCAGTAGGCTATCCTCTGCAAAAACAAGTCATTACAACAAGTCACACACAGGCAGAAAAAGCACATACATGCATTTCTGAAAAGTGGAATCAACCAAACTTTTTAACGCGTGCCTTCTAAAACAATTTTTTTACATCTGCATTTCCTCACAGAAGTCAAGCTGAGATGTCGGAGAGAACGCGATCAAATTTAACATTGCGAAAGGTTGTGAGGAATTCCTCTCGAGAACTTCACAAGTGTTTATCCTGGTTATCATGAGGAGGCTACAGGCAAAGATTAATGGACGGTGACATAAGTTTACAGGAGGAACTATGTTCTGAGAAGCTGAAAGAAACTCCGAGTATCGGGAGGTAATGCCGATGGAATGTGAGGTTTGTTACCGCAGAGTGAAGCTGACATTCGGATGAAAAATACACTCCCATGCATTGATGAGTACAACTCCTACTGCATCGGAGGATTGCTTTTAAGTTTTATTAGGAAAAAATAATGAGCAAAATGGACGATCACGCAACTTACCATGATTGCAGAGAGTGTTCATTTGCACCGTGTGACATCTGATTTAATTTCTACTGTTTTTACTATATTCCATATTCAATACAGACATATAATTTATCTTGGTCACAAAATCTAATACATACATATTTACCAGTGAGCATTATCTTATTCTAGATTTTATCTTTTTTACTTCTTATACATCCATCTACTTGTCATCACCGTTCGTTCTGCCCTCATTTGACTATTCAGATTTTACGATCGATTTTGGTTTATTGACAGAAAGATTTATAAAGTAGCTGTTTTCACCCCCGTGTGACAAACATGCTTTGGTACAGACCTCTTTGAATGTCCCCGGTAGACTGAAGAATTTATACAGGGCATAAATGGGAACAAACAGCATGGAGGACATGGCCACGCCCCAGCCCAGTAGGTTGGACCAGTTAGGGAAGACGTACTCATCGTACTTCAGGCCCGATGATGTCAAAGTACTGGCTATTACCACAAACTGTGAGAGAGAGAGAGAGAGAGAGAGAGAGAGAGAGAAGAAATAGAGGGTAAAAACAGAAAACGGACACGTCAGAGGGGTTGGATGTGTTTGTAGTGGTGAGGCTTGTAATATTTACAGACTCTATTAAGAAAAGAGCGAAACAAAGCAGTAGAGATCAGCCAGCAAAACATTTTCATAACAACTGGTGGCATATAATAAAGTTGCGAAACACAATTCTAAGATTATGAAATGGACTGGAGTGTGTTTGCACTGCAGTAAACTTCTGTCTTGTCTTACTACCATCTTCACTCTTTATCGTCTCTTAGAAGGTGCTATAAATCAACAGAGTTTACGGTGCTTTAAGAAAGATTTAGGTGTTTAAATTCCTATCTCTCCTGCATTAACATAATAGAGAGAAAGGTGCGGAGCTCAGATGACCCCTCTGATATAGTTTGATTGGGACGGCCGTAATAAGCAGCAGGTCTTGAAGAGGCCACGACCCCGAGGTTTGATCCCAACCTCCAGCACATCACTTGGAGCAAACCACACACCAGGTTTTTCAGATATCGTGTGAAAATATGGGATGTCTTTGAAAATAATTGATAGGGTGTGTTGTTATCTGTTATGCTCTCAATCACATTACTCATCTCCTTACTTGCATAATGGTGCATGATAAAAAAATAAAAAAGAAGAAACACTCACGCAACAGAGGGGACACATGTTCCCCATTAAGTTTTCAATTTTTGACAAGGATGTGTATTCTTCTGGACTATGAAAGCTTTTTTTATTTTGGTACCCAAATACATCAGCGTATACCTGTAAACAATAGTAAGTTATTTTTGGTGCTTTTTATCACAATGACAAAATTCTCGCTATAAGCTCGTCACGCACGGGGATGTGTAGACAGCCGTTTGTATTAAAGGAAGCACACGGCTGTCTACACCCTCCTCTGGATCACGGTAGACGCAGCCATGTGCTTCCTCTAATGCACGTGGAGTTGCACACCACTAAATTCACCTGCCAGCGAGGAACTTGCCAGGAGGCTCGCTGACATTCAACCTATCCTCCCTCATCCCGCCCTGCCTCTGGGTACGAGCCAGAACCATGGCTGCTGATGATTAGAAGTCTGTGGCGGTGGGCGACTGCTTTATTTTGTGCGCTATTCAACTTATTGCATTACTTTAACTCACTTAGCCTATTGATTCTAATAGGGCTGCGACTTACAGTCTGTTTCTGTGTTGAATTTTTACGACCGAGCTCCCCCAGCACCACAAGACTTAGACAAACATCTGCTGCGTGCTAGAATGAGCAATACCTTTCATACAGCTTGCAAACATTTAGGATGACTGTAATTGAAATACATCAACTGCTAAATTAGTTTAATTGCAGGTCCTTGCCAGCATGGTTCGTGGTTCGGTCTTGGCGTAGATGTTATCCCGGACCAGGAATGCCAGCCCTAAACAACAACAGCTTAATTCTATTTATTTTTCTCACCAGCAGAAACGCGGGGCTGACAAATTTCCAGCACAGCCTCCAGTAGAGACCTGGCTTAAAGCCCATCATTCGCTCAATATCTTCGCTGAAGCGGTCCACACCTGCAGGGAGCATGAAAAGTCAAACAGCAAAGGTTACCTTGGAGAGTACAGTTACACACGTTCGATGTTCTGTCAGTGTAGATACAACAAACTGTTTCTTTGCCGTCACACTGGGGACGCAACACACGGTCGGACTTGAGCTGACCTCTGGTTACACAATTCACCTGGCATGGAACCCCTCTTTCTTTTAACCCCTCTAGGGTTCTTCCATTCTTTTTTCCATTTTTTTAATTTAATTTTTTCCTGTGATTTCACCTTCCTGAAGCTCTACAGATGGTTTGACATGTTAGCCAAGCCTGATGTCATCTTGTGCGCAACCTTATGATTCACATCTTTGTTTCAATTCCTTCTCTTTGTCTCTTTCTTTCTTTCTTTTTTTTCTTTCTCATCTGGCTTATCTGTCTCACCTCGGTCCTGCATATTCAGAATTACAGAGATACAGTCAACAGGCTTTATCGTTGTCCATCTTTGTTATTTGTTGACTTCCTCCTTTTTTCACATTTGTCACTAATGATTCTTCTATAAATTTCCAGCCCACATTTTTCCCCCCTTTCTGTGAAATTACGGCGAAAGTGATGGAAAATAGGTGGATGTTTTGTCTTGCTGTCGTTTTGTAACGTCATAACAAACCAACCAGTGCTGGGAATATGCAGTGAGATAAGTTAAAAAGATCAAATAAACAGAGCATAATTTCTTACCATAAAACCATGACACTCCAATGGCCTCGATCAACACACCAAATAGTATAGAAGTTCCTGCTGCATACTTATCCAACAATGTCAGCACGTAGATTCCACCCTGCAGAGGTGGAAAGAAACAAAAAATGTTGATTGTATGAGTGTGTGTGTGCAGGATGTAATATCGAACATAAGTAGACCCTTAATATGATCGACTGCATATCCTCATGTTGCACTTTGAGGTTTTTGAAAGTCCAACGTGAGTCTCAATACAGACAAGGAAGACAATCTGTACGCTGTTGAGACAATAAATCCTCGATTTGCACCCTGAGTAGTACACTCTGTATTTCGTGCCAGGGAACGAGCATGTGAAAGGCATCATTCACTTTCCCGGTAATTTTACTGATTTGATTAAACGATGAAACCATGTGAATCGCGAGCACAATACCTTTCTGTCTCCGACGTCTGTGTATCTGTTATCAGTGAGCGATACCATGTGAATGAACAGGGCCTCCCGAGACATTTAATCCTCGGCTGCCTAGTTGCAGCTTCAAATAAATTTTAATTTCTTATCAGAATGTGATACAATGGCTCTTTTTGGAGATGCGATAACATCACGAGACTGAGAGTCACTTGCAGTTTAAATCTCACATTCATCATTTTCTTGGCAAGTTTATAAGTCGATTAATGTTTTTAAAATTGTGTTTACTCCCGCAAACAAACATAATAAAGGAAATAAGCATGCAAGGACTTCGACACTGGATACTGACATTCGTGATGCAGAGCAGGGCAACCAGGAAAGTTCCAAAGGCTGTGGCAAAGGTGAAAAGCTTTCTGTTTCTCTTGAGGATCTTGAAGTCGTCCGTCAGGCCTGTGATGACTGCTTCCATGCCGCCCATCTGAGGGACGCAAAACAGAGAGCGAGAGAGGTGACATTCAGAAATCGTGTTGTCACACCACATTTGTCAGTTTGAAGATTTCAATCACGCTAAAAGTGGTTTCGCTAAAGGAGAGATCCATTTAAACTCCCTTAGACCTTTAGAGAAACGTTAGAGAAAAAAAAAAGGTGTTGATAATAGTTACGAGTTCACATGTACAATGTCTCCTTAGATTGGCATGGGTAAGTGTAGCTTTTTAACAGTATTTGTGGCAGCATCCAACAAAACTTGAATTGAAAACCACACATCTGTTAACAGGTTAGCAGGTATTAATGTCAATGTGAAGAACTGGAGACTGAAGAACTGAAGACCCGACAGGTCCGGGAATGCATCTTTGACTTTACAGTAGCATGACAATAAAGCACAGGCATTAACAAGGACAAGATAGAATGAAACACGTATAGCTATAATATTACAGTATATGCAGTACTGTTTCCATAAAACATCCTTATCTGATCTACCAGACACATAACTGAAAAGATGTACTAATAACCCCGGGGCATTCGCTGATATTTTCTGAGTCGACTGAACTATCGTTTAGCACCTCGGGGGAATCACTGGGCAGATGTGTCGGGTATTCTTCTTTCATGTCACGTAAATTGTGGGAACGGGAACCGCGTGGCGTCTCACGGACAAACTGACAAAGTTGGACGTGTGATTAACATTTTGCTTAAAAAAAAAAAAAAAAAAAAAAGTGGAATAGATAACCCAGCCAAGAAAGGTTTTCTGACATGACTCATCACTATCTCCAGGTGATCTCACGGTGATCTGTGTATGCTCACACCTGTATGCAAAGGCGGTGCTGATTTCCTAAGCTTTGAGTCAAAATGAGGGGTGAGGTAGTCAGTGCCTTATGTAAGGTGAACTTTTGTCCATAGGCATTTTACCTGCACCTTTGCACAGGCTGAAGCATTATGCAAAGCTAAAGCCACCGTTTTATAAGCACTGTATGCACAGCAGTGTCATAGAGAGGCAAATACTAAAACTAATATGGGGAGGACAGTAATAAATCCTGGAATCAAAACACTGCTTCTATCTGTAATTTTTAAAGTTTATATTATTAGCTGTTGTGTGAATGAATAGCTGGGCCGACTATTTCTCACATCTAAAAAATACATCAGAGCTTCAAAGAGGCCTCTGGGTTCATCCACTTCTGCAATAGGGTGGACAAAATCTGCAAATGTGACCATTACGCTCATACTGATACTGTGGAGTTCAAAATATGAAATATAATACGTTTAACTGGGCTATACATTTTTAAAAAATAAAATAAAAAATGACACAAAACAAGACAGAGGTTCTTGTGAACGCAGCCTGCGGTGTACCAGAATGATTGAATGGCGAGCTGACTGATAAATGTAACGGCAAACGTAAATGTGCTCAGTTTGAGAAACAGCCGCAGAGACTGAGTCGGCTGCAGCTCCATCATCATCATGTTCTCGTGTTCTTGAGAGTGTCGGGCAAGCTGAGCTCAGAATGTTGCTATCAGTAGACATTTCTAATTGAAATTCTTCGCATTTTATACTGGAAGGAGCTTTCTGGCAATTACACCAAGTAGTCCATCATTATTGGTGTTGTGCCATATTATATAATTGTAACATGCTTGTAATAAACAATGATTTACAAATAATAACTTTTGAAACTCCTTTTCAAAGACGAGTCAGTGGGAAATTATAAAAATAATGTCATGAAACCTCACAGAAATCACTGCATAGTTGCCAAAAGTGTGAAATTTCAGATTTGGAAGACTTGGTTAAATGCATTTAGCATTCCTCCCTATTGATTACCATGGTAACCGCTACAGAGGTGGTGTTCACGCTTGCTAATTTTGTTTTCATATACACATAAAATGGATATATATGGATGGACATATTAAAAGGGTAAGGACCCCCAGATGTAGCAGAAATGTTCATTGCACCACCCCAACATATTTCCCTTTAGCCAAGAGGACACTGTTCTGTTCTGTAGAGCCGTTGGAGTGATTGTTGGTACTCACCGAGCTGTCAATGCCCAGAGTCAGCAACATGATGAAGAACACAATCGCCCAAAATGTTGAGCCAGGCAGGGTAGAAATAGCCTCAGGGTAGATGATGAACACCAAACCCGCCCCTGTATGTACAACAAACATTCTGTCTTTCATAAACAATGTATGTTTTGTGCAGCATGTATGAGTGGACATTATATCATACGAGCAAGAGCTAGGAAATAAATTAAAGCAGTGTACCCCAATCACCCACAACATTAAAACCCACTTAAAGATGATGAATGCACCCCGTCACACCACAAAAACTGCCCAGGAACGGCTCGAGGAACATGACCAAGAGCTCTTGGCTTCCAGATTGAATACTGACAGGATGCGCTAGAACAAGCCCAAAACATGGAGACCCCGCCCTGCAATCCACAGCATCCAAAGAATCCCCCATTAACGTCGCAGTGTCAGACACCACTGGACATCCCTGGACGATGCTCCAATGGATCAGAGCTGTTCTGGTGGTATGAGGCGGACCAACACGAACTACGGCACGTTGTTTTGATGTTGTGGCTGATTGGTGTACAGCTTTGGGCAAGTCGGTGACGGTGCAGAGGAGCAGTGTAACTAATATTTTAGTGTTTGTTTGTGCAATACCAGAACTTACCCTCTGTTGCTACATCCTCTATTCTCACCCCATGTTTGTAAGCCATGTATCCAAGTACAGAGAAGATGGCAAACCCTGAGAAGAAACTGGTCACGCAGTTCACAGTGCTGGTCAAGAGAGCATCCCTAGATTAGGAAAACACAAAATAACAGAAATTGGAGGTTTAAAAAAAACGCTGAATTACTTTGTGTTTTACATTTCAGTTATAGTTTGGTTTAGGATTCACTGTGTCGAAGCCAATCACGTAATAACTGGCCAATAACATAATGAAAGTCCTGAACTGAAAACATAATATCTTTTGGCCAATAGCGTAATAAGTTATTATGTTATTGACCAAAATTTATTACATTGTCGTAAAGGAATCCTTGTTTAAAGTGACAGAGATATCATCTTTTAACACTGTCGTTACAACCAGCATTGTTAAATCACTGCTAGTGCTGCTCTGCAATCCTCATCGGTCTAGTAAATGATTTCCCATTAAGTAAAGTTAAAATGAAGCCATGTGTTACTTGACATCTTTCAGGTGTTTTTAGGGAAAACACTGTGTTTTAGAGGGGAAATTTAGACCAATGAGGGTTGTTTATTGTCTTCTCCGGCTTGATGATTTCATTGATAATTTGTGATGTTCTGATTTCGCTCACCTGCTGCTGTCTGATAGAACCAACATGTTCAACTTGCCCTCGGCTGTCGGCTGGCTTTTAGAAATTTCTCAAAGACGAATTTGCTTCCATCTGACTATCCCTCTGACTTATCTTTTTGTTCTACGTGTGGGCTGGTAACGTTTTTTGTTTGTTCAGTCGTGCCTCTCCGCCTGGTCGTTCAAACACTCACACATTTGTTGGTGCTCATCAGAAGAGCACCTCTTCGTTTATGAGAGACGAACACATTCACTACAGACGATGTTTCATTCTAGTTTAGATATTGTTATGCAGTTATTTAAAGGCGTAGTTTAAAAAAAATAAAAAATCAATTTAATCTCATTTAGGACACATATAATAACAAGATGAATATGAATGAGTTTTCCCCCCCACAGTTCATTTATTAGTATTTCAGTTTGACATTAATCTATTTGAATGTCAGCATAAGAAAAGAAAAAAACAAGGAGGGGGAGGGGGTTAAAAGTTTTTGTTAGTTTTATCTGAAGCGTTATTGTTTTTTTTTTTCAGTAACTGCAATAACCTTGTTATTAGCCTGCCATTGAACTGGTGGGTTTTATGTTTTTCTTAGTCGTTGGGGTTGACACATTGATTCATTGCACTCCATCTTGTGCACATTTCCTCCGTGTCGGTATGCAAACAAAAGCCTGGTTTTAGTACTTGTTGTTTTTTTTTTTCTTTATATATATTTCAGGCGGCTGCCTTTCCTCTTGTTCCAATTTGCTCATTTGCCACTCAGGGCATAATTTAAAACCCACCTGCCAGCAGTTCATGCACTTTTTCTAAATGGGACATGAAAAAAGCGGACAGCAGAGGAGGCCCAGATTGGGGTTACAGAAGGTGGAGGAAAGGCAGCAGGAGAGTGGAGGTCCATAATGTTGGTAGCACATAGTGCAGCACTGATTTAGCTTGGACGCCTCTGTTATCTCACTTTACATTATGTGACACCTATTGGGAGATGATTACGTCGATAGAAACACTTTTTTCTTTAAGTTCAGCAGCCGTGAAGAGGAAGATCTGTTTTGGGTGTAACATGTTTACAATTATGATCGGGCAAACGGATGCTTTGCCAACAGTATCTACGCCCAGCAGCACTACTGCAAGTTATTAACGTGCACAAAGATTAGCCAAACTCACAACCTCATGTCTGCCTTTTTTTTTTTCTGACGGAGAGCAGCACTATTACAAACCAGTCAACATTCAGCCTTTGGCTATTATCTGACAACCCTCCCTGGTCTGTACTTTATCTGTCCTTTTTAACACCTGGCCAGTGGGGTAAGCTGGACAGATTAGCATCACCTCTGATCCGGTTACAGGCCGGGAAAGGCAGAGTGCTTAAAAACGGCAGGATGATGTGTTGCTGTGGGCTTGTTTCAGACTAGCAGTGCAAAACCCTTACCTGTAGCAGTTGTTGTCAAATTTGTTATAACTGGCAAATGCAATGAGCACACCAAATCCTGCACCCAGCGAGTAGAATATCTGGGTGGCAGCATCAATCCACACCTATGGCACAAATAACAGAGAAATCAGAAAACTTCTGAATTCCTAAAAATAAGAGATTCCAGGCTGAAACACCACACATGACTTGAATGCAAAAGAGAATTTTCATTTTTTAGTTAATTTTTTAAATTAATCTTTTTTTTTATTGCTCCATTCTTTCCCTGAAGTTGCGTTGCTTTCTTGAATAACACATTTTTATTTACCTGGACATGTTTTATGAGCTGGGAACGCCCTGCTTTGGTTTGCAAAACATGTCAGTTAGATTCATACAGAAAAAAAAACAAAACAAAAAAGTCCCTAAAATGTTTTGCAAAACATGAACTTTTTCTCAACTCTTAAACATGTACGTACGTAAGCTTGGCTAATGGAAGATTGTATCTAAAGTATGTGTGTATGGAATACATTCATATATATGTACTGTACATACATTCAGGATGGGAGGCACCAATGGAATCTAGCCTTTAACCTTCAGATCAGGAGATAACACACCCAGTGAAGTAACACAGAAAGGGAGCTCTATGAAACTACTTCGAAGCTGTCATACTTGTTATTTGTAGTTTGTAAGATTGAAGTAAAAGCTCAAGGAGTCCCATGGGTTAACACAAACCCAGAGGTCAGCAAATAACATGAATCTGAAGGTGTGTTCAGTCATGAAACTCAGAGTAACATTCTTTTCATAATAATCTCCAGTACCAATGAATGGATTGTGGCAAACTGTGTCTAACCTCTAGATTGTTGAGTCGCTTGAAGTCAATGTGGAGGTAGGCTTTAATTCCTTCCATGGACCCTGGTAGAGTTATGCCTCGGATCAGCAGCACAAAAAGGACCACATAGGGCATCGTGGCTGTAATGTACACCACCTGAATATACAGACAGAGCGAACAGGCAATAGGGAGAAAACACGTCATTTTGCTTTATTATTGGACCCTTTTTCGTAATTAAAAAAAAACCCCAGCATGTGCCCAACAGTGTATAGTAAGAAAAAAGACATATGTAGTAGGAATCCCTTCGATAACTTAAACAATGAGAAGACAACCTTAAAATGATGGCATTTGTTACAGCTTATTGCTCGAATGCAAGTCACTACATATATAATGTGGAATGTAAAGTGTGAAAGAGTGCGTGAGAAGTGAGTGTCGACTCCACTCCACTCCTCCCTTTTAACTTTTTTTTTACACTGAGCTACTTTACAAGATGTAAGCAAAGCATCCCCGTGGCAGATTCATAGCTTCAGATCTTTTACAGATAACACAGTGGGCATAAAATGATGAAGCCGTTGTTTGGTGGTCCACATCCGCCCGTACCTTTCCTGAAGACTTGACGCCTTTCCACAAGCTGAAGTAGAGGATGAAAACAACCACAACCAGGCACAAGGTCAACTCCCAGCGAGGCAAGCCCAGGTCCTGGATACCTTTACTTTCATGGAGATGCAGCACACCTCGTCTACATAAGGACAGACAGATGAATTAGCAGGGTATCTAGAAGGCATTCTTTACTTCTGATAAACTCTTTCTGAGCAAAACCACTTTGACACAGTGACTTAAGGGCATGTTATGTGTGGTTTTTTGGATACATCTAAACAGTTATAGGATAAACAGCCCCACCCAGCTTCTACAACAACTCACGTATGCGAATCTGATATGCGGGTGGGAGAAGAAACGTGAAAAAGAGACTCTCTTAGGACTGGACTTGGAGCGCTCCACCCTAAACCAATTTCCACGTTGTTACTGTTATGTCAAATCCGTTTATCGCTGAAATATATATTCGGTTAAACAACTTGAGGCACAAACATTTCAATGGTATTCAATGCAGTATTTTATCTAAAGTAAAGGGATGAGACTGGGTGAAAGCTGTGTGAAGTTGGATAAAACAGCCATCTATCAACAACACACAGATGCTCTGAAATGGTCAATATGGTGTCCTTTCGATATTGCCGGCCATTCTCGTCAAGCCAAAAACTTATGCTCAGACCAAGTTGAAAGAGTTAAGTGTTTTATTTTGACATAATGAAAGAAGGGAATACAAATGTGTCTTTTCCTTGTCCATCTAAATATTGTTTCCAGCTGCGCAAACTCATTCTTTGAAAGTCTGGTCGACAGCAGTGGTAACAACGTGCACAATTTCAGTTTACAGTTATGGAGAAGGAACAAAGTCCGTGTGACACTTTATATAAACTCAATGTGGTCACTTGCCTAAGTATCCAGAGACCAGAAAGTGCTGTTCGGACCAGCCCGACTAGTTATTATAACAGCTATGAACAATAATGAACAACAAATGAGCCTTCCAGCATCAAGCCCTCCTTGTATCTTGACCTCCGTCTTGACAATTCGACAGCCTTGCTATCCGACATGAAAGAAGGTTTTACATTTAGTGTCGGATTATCGAGTCGCGACTGTATATGAAGCTATTACCAGAAGAATAAAGAAGTAGACATTAGGGTAACCATTGTTCCAAAGTTACCAAGCAAAGCACATAAGAAGTCACCTACTACTCAATAGCATCAGTGTTTTAAGTCTGTCACTCACTTTTTAAGTTGAGGTTTTGTTTAGGAACAAATAAAAGTTTGGGGGGAACTTTTCTCTCTCCGGCATGTTGATATACCTAAGCAGACAAATTCTCCCAAATGGTTCCCATTCATACAGAACAAGATTTTTCATTTTGGCCTCACAATTTTGCATTTGTTAATTTGAGAAAGCTTTTTTTTTGGTGAAATTTCAAACAATAGCATGTGGCTTTAGGGGTAAACATTGTAACCCATTTGTTTAAATCAGTGTGAAATTAGTTATATGCAAGACGTTTTACTATCACAATGACTTTGCAAGTTTCTGGTACCAACAACCTGTGCAGTGACCAGTACTGAGGTGTTGGATAGATTAACCTACAAACTTCTGCTTTTTATATTCACTGAGTTCAAACAAATCCATCTCCATACACAATGTTGAGATGTGGGATGAAGCCTCTTTCTGTCTCGATCAAACAAACTCATTAACTTTGAATGAAACCAAACGGCACTACCAATGGGTCGAAGTTAAAACTGCATTCACACATGTAACTTTTTTGCGCATTTATGTTTCCACTTTACCTAAAGAACAACTAAAAGAAGGAAAATAACAGCCGTAAAAGTCAGCAGCTTTGTTTGGGAGGAGATCTTTAGTCTAGGTCAGGAACATCCCAGGAGCAAAAAACTGAAACAATACTCCTGCAGTTTGCCAAAACAAAAAAATCCCACAAAAGTCTGTGTTCCCAGGAAGCTCTCTGTGGTTAAAGTTTCACATGATGTTGCTTCATTCACAAGTGTTTCTGTATAGTTATTAAACTGTTACAGAGCTTATTAAAGTATCCAACCTCCCTTGGAAATGTCCTCCTTTTATTGCTTTTCAGCATAATAATGGTCACTTTAGTTTGGCTTTTTGGACAAGAATTTACAAGAAACTTTATAACTACCTGATAAAGACTAAAGAACACTCTAAACCACTCTGTGGATTGATTATTGAAAAGCAGACGTCAGGGAATGGATACAAGAAGGCTGTTTTTTAAACGAGAAATCAGTGACCATGCAAGAAAGAGACTAGGGAGGGAGGCCACCAAGACACCTATGACTCCTTTGAAAGAGTTACAAGCTTCAGCTGCTGACATTGGAGAGACTGTGAATAAAACTACTTTTGCCTGGTTCTTCAAAAGACAAAGCTTTATGGGAGGGGGCAAAGAGAAAGCCACTGTTGAAAAGATGTGGAACAGAGTTGCCTTCCAATGTGAGAGACTCCAACGTCAACTAGAAGAAGGTTCTTTGGCCTGATTAGATCAAAGCTGAACCTACTGGCCATCAGACAAGATGCTTTGTTTGGCGGACAGTAAACACTGTCATCACAAACACCCATCCCCACTGTGAAGCACAGTGGTGACACCAGTATAATGGTAGCAGGTCCTGGAAGGCATGTCAAGGCATAGGGAAATCCTGGAAGACAACTTGATATAGTCTGCAGAGATCTGCGACTTGTCATCCAGAAAGACGATGACCCGAAACACAGAGCCAAAGCTACACAGAAATGGTTTAAAGGCACCGAGGTGAATGCTCTGGAGTAGCTTAGTTAAAGCTGTAAAGCTGTGAAGCCGGACTTGAAAAGGGCTGTTCACTCATGATCCCTGTGCAAATCTGGAGCAGTTTACAATAAAATAACAGGGTATAATCGCAGATAATGGGTAAGGTTGTTCCAAGGCATAAATATTGTTTGTGAAGTTGCGTTGTAAAACTCTATGATTTAATCCTCAGTGAAACATGAAAACAACAACAAAGACTAACTAGCCGACTCTTGAAACTGTTAGATGTTGAAGCAGTGCTGGGAGACACTGGAAGGGCGTAGGATTGTATTTGGACATCCTAATCCTGCAGTAAAACGTTTAATAGCACTTTTTGTTAAATTTGCATTCATCCAAAGACTTTCCTAAAGACAGATTCAGTTTGGTCGGCATGTGATTTAATGGGCTGATAAACAGCTAAATTTGGATCTGATACTAAGGTTGGTTACATAACAGGAACAAGCAAACTAAAGTATGTTCTGACATCGACTCTGAAGGGACCGGAGGATCTGTGAAGCTCCTCTTCTGCATTTATTTATCTTGGGCTGATAAAAACAAAATCAAAGCGGTATGGTCTTTTGGGAGGCAGATAGTGGTGTGAAGACATCAGTTTATTTGAGGAGGAAAATTTGAGTCTGGGCTCTGACCTGAAGGCCTGCTGTTAGTGTTGTGTTATGTTGTAATGCCCCAAGGCCTCCTTGGTCTTCTGATGGCATCGATAATGCAGTTCCAGTAAATGCTCACTATAACATCAATCCAGGTCCCTTTGGCCCAGTTACTCAAAACACATTTAGTCTTATCATCGCTCAGCAAGCTGGTTGTACTGCGATCCTAACACTGTGTGTTGCTATTAGCTGATCTCTGTATATTTGACTTTGGCACACTATTGCATGCAAACTGGTCGTAATGTTGGTTACGAAATGGGAAACAGGGCATGGAAAAATAAATAAATAAAAATGACTGAAGAACTGAGTCTTAAAAACCCAGCTGAAGGGTTCTACTTCATTTCAATCTGATTTATTTAGTTAATTCCACATGATTCAGTCTTTTTGTTTTGTTTTTTTGAATAGTTATTTTTTTTAAAAAGTGTTCGAGTGAAAGTGAGATCAATCTCCTCATGTCTATGTAATTACATCATTTTGTTTAAATGAGGCCTATTTATCAAGTCTAGTGATCCTTGGCATGAAATCAGATGTGGTTGCTCCAGGTGAACTCTAAAGACAATGGCTGGGATAAGCTCATCTACTATACACACCAAACCTTTTCAGATCAGTAAAAATCACATCCACTGTTACTTCACACTGAAAGACTTGGTGTTGAATTACAATATAATACTCAGAACAGATTTCCTGTTTTCGTTCAGCACGCGTTATTTTTTTAAACGTGTCCACATTTTAGAATCCAGTGTGAACTGCTCGTGGTCCTGAACTGAAGCCACGTGCGCAAAAGAGCAATACCCAAGAAGTCACAGCACGTTGTCGTTAGCGAGTGAACACGGAGGCCACTAAAGCTGATTAACAGCAGAAGGCCGGGATGATGTGAGGAGATGATAACAAGCACGAGGATGAGGAAAAAGAAGGCCAAATTTTGTGCCACTGTGCTTTCAAACACAGACTGGTTACGATAGAACCCCGTTAGGTTTGCTCAGTCATTTTATTGACTGCAAAGTGTCAAATGACAATCTGTAACACCAAAGGGGTCAATAATAGTTATGAAGCTATCATTTGGAGAACTTTGAAGTAAGTTTGAACACAGTGTTTAGTTTATTTACTGTGTGTTCGTGTATAGATGAGGAACACAATGAAAAGTGACAAATATGCCCAACAGAACAATTTAAAAGAGTCAGTCTTGTATGCCAACATGGCCAAGAGGTCAAAAAAGATCAAATTACTGTGTAAATGCAAGATTTATGATCAGTTTACAGTTTGGTATTGTATCAGACCACATCCCATGATATGTGGTTATTATCTAATCTTACAATAAAGTAATAGAATAATTTTCTCACACAATGGCAGAATCTAGACATTATGTTGAAAATTTAGTTTCAGAAAGTTTTTGGAAATATGTAGAGAGAAGGACCCGCACTTCTTAGAGCTCTGTGAAAGCCACGGCTTCCTGATTTCTATGCCTGTGAGCGGTGAGACAGTAATCGTACAGTTTTGTTCTGTCGGGTTAACATACGCGATCCAGTGATTTGGGAGCTGAACATCAGGGAAGTTTCTTTGATCTCTTCACAAGCTACTAAATGAATGACAGAAAGATGCCCAGCAGATCTCTAAAGAAGCCTTGTCACATGATTTATTGCTCACTTCCAGTTTGTTCCTCTGAGCTACAGTGATTCTAACTGTATTCATCTTTCAGGGGTAGATATAGCAGCTTGATGTAAACTTTGACTTATAGGAGATAACGTTTTTGATCAGCTAGTCCATGACAATCCAAATTAACTATGTTCAATTTTGTAGGCTCATTGATATGTACCTGTGGTCCTCAGTAGACAGAGTGATAGAACAATACAAACAGCGGTATGATGGTGTAAATTTGGTTAAAACGTGTAATGTTTCTGTCTACTCCAATATTCCACCAACCATGATACCTTTACTTTTCACCCCAAAGAGGCTGATTTAATTTTTCTGTGATTGGCGCCAATATGAGCTTTAAAAAGAGAAGAGAAAATAATCATTTAAAATACACGTTTTTGCATTTATGGCCACTATTAGGACAATCATTTAGCAGGTATGATGGGGAAACCACTCCAATCGTGGTCCCAATTGGAAGAGATACATTATGTTGTTACTGGGTTGAAAGAAAAATCATGGGTTTTTCCAACTCATAGTGCTTCAAATGATTTCATAAAAAGTGGTACCATACCAACAGTTGCTTGTTTCAAATTTGTGTCCAGGTTTTGGCAAGACTCTCCACAACTAAATTTATCTCCAACAAAACATGTTCTTAGAACTTTCTCTGCTGAAGCCTTCAAACCTGATGACAGAAATTCACAGACTATATAAACCCAAACTGTATGACATCATCATCTTTTAGAAAATCCATCCATGTGGTTAACAACATGAGCATCAATACTTGGAATACTGGGAAACCCATTTTCGACTAATAATCAGGCATGAACTACTTTAAAACAGGGTTTCAGTGCTAACATCAGCACATCAGGTATTATTGCTGGCAACTTCAACACAATGTTTCTATGTGACTCTTTGCTAACAATAGTTATAATCTTATAATGAATTACAACATATTGTGATGAAGAAATCAAACACAAGTAGAAATATGTATGTCTGATGTATAGATAATTAACATGGATGAGATTCCTTATGGTACCACTTTTATAAAACTTGAAGCACTTTGAGTTGGAAAACCCATGATTTGTCTTTTAGCCCAGTAACAGTATTATATAAGTCTCACTATTGGAGTGGTTTCACCGATCACACCTGTTCAATGATTGTCCGAATATTGATCATAGATGCAAAAAAACATACTTTCAATATGTTGTTTTTCATAAAGTATACCATATTCTGCAGTTTTAAAGCTCCCATTGGTGCCAATTCTAGAAAAATAAACAAATTTAAAAAATCACCCTCTTGACACAAAAGATAAATGTTGTACAGTTGGTGGAATATCAGAACAGAACAAAAAACATGGACATATTTTGACCAAATTTACACCATCAAATGTATTATTCTGTGAAAGCAGGGTTGTACCATTGAAGACCACATGTGGACATCAATAAACGTACACAATTTAAGGACTGTAGTGACAATATTTCTCAAGCTATTGCTCCACAGATTGGCACAAAGCAAATGATGCAAAAATCCACTTGAGCCCACCTGTTTTTGGAATGTTTAACTCAAAACCTAATGTTACCTATGACTACAGATCTTACACAAATTTTACCGAATAACACACATATGTGCAGAAAAAGACAAATATTAGATGGTCAGGCGTGAACTATTTTTACAAACTTGTAGAATTGATGTGGAATGACTCACAGATGCAGCATCAACTTTATTGAGTGATAATACGTGTTCACCTCTTGTTGTGCTGCTTCTAGGTGGCCAGAAACATCAGTTCACACAGGTATACGGATACCTGAGTAACCTGACCTCATCTTTCTCTCATGCAGTATTTGCGTCTTCTTCAAATGTGAAGAAATTTTGCTGTTGAATTTGCTACACACTGTGCTCGTGTCGCAAGCTCGGTTCAGAAGGGTTTGCGGATGAAGAAGGGTGTACGAGGTGAAGCAAGAGAACTGTTGACTCAGTTGGCCTCCCTCACGCTGTGCCTTGGCATTGCTCCTGTGCTCAAAGCTAGCTGTAAGCAGGAGGATTTATTGTCCCCTACCGTGCCTAACCTCCATGCAAGATCTGTCTTCAAGTGTCCTATTGTTGTCAGTCTGTCTCTGCACATCTTCTGTTTTTTTTCCCCCCCCTGAGAATGAAGAATGATAATCCACTTGGAATACATATTTGGAGTTTTGGTTTTATGTCTGCTTTTTGAATGGTGTTGCATCACTTTTTTTTTGAAGGCTACAGTTTTCTTGTGAATACTGATCTCTGAATTTTAAATAAAAGTGTTTACTTATAATACATCAAGTCTGAGAGCTCCTAGACGTTAAAAGACGACCGGCGATGGTGTTTGATTGAACAGTTCAAGACGGTTGTGCTCATCAGAATGCAGGTGGAAGTTTAGCGAGCGCAGTCACTGGCCACCACGCACGCTCGATATATTCTGTGCGTCACGCTTAGCGTGTGTCCCTTGTATTGTCCAAGTCATTTCACAGACTTCCTCTGGGCTGCACAGTCAGTCTTCACAGAAGCTGGGGAAGAGCTGGCTGTCTTTGAAGTATAAACAGATGGAGCTTTTTCATGCACTTCAAAGAGAGCATTTGAACTTTTTATGTATACACCTTTTATAGTGCAAACATTTGTGACCGGACAATTTTAGAGTCCTCTGCTCATATTTCAGTGACTGGTTGCCTTCCTCACATGGACAATGGCTCCCTTGTCTCGTGGAGGTGTACAGTGTTATTCAGATAACACCCCCCCACCCCTCTAAAAAAAAAAAAGCATTTACCTCCACGTGACACTGTCAGTGAGTGGATCGGATACTGACTCAGCCAAACTGCATCGTTTAGAAGTGAAACAAAAACTTGTCCAAAACACAATCGACAGAACATCCAACCGTGCAGGCCAACGTTTCGCAATTATGACAAGACTGTGATCAAAATCTTGTTTACCTTGACTTTTTGTTTTATACCATGATCTCAGCATACATTCAGATGTCATGTTTTCATATCAGCATTACCGAAAAGTTGGTGGAACAACGGACATAACAGGCAGGTTGCTTCTTGTGTTTTGCTCGCTTGACTTTAAGTCCGATACCTAGATGAATTGTTGGTAAAGTTGAGTGTTCGAACATGTTAGTCCTCTTAAAACTTGACAAAGTTAGATCCTCTAATAGTTTTTGTCAAAAATACAGTCTTAATCATGCCGTGGTCTACATCGCCAGATACACTCGCCCCTGAAAGTCTCCCACAAAGAAATCCGTTTGAGAAATTTCATAAGATGCTGGTTGTCTCACATGTCCCGCCCCTCAACTATAAAGTCAGCTGTCAGCTTTATAAGTGGGAAAGATTAAGCCAACCATGTTGCACTGAAGCTGGCGAAACTGTGTCTGTGTACTGAGTACAGCCTGTGAAGGAAAACCTTATTTTGGTGCAAAGTCACTGAACTTTTTAGGCGTTTTTCATCAGATTTGACTGATGATTTTATACACGCACTTCTTTTGTCCCAGCCACCATTAAAATTGCAGTTATTCTGCAATCAAGGAGCTTGGTTTTGTTAGCCAGTGGTGTTCCCAAAATAACTGCAGAGTGTCGACACTTGTCCACAAGGACTGAGATGCACAGTAGTGACTGATAAATGAATTTCTCTGAATTCAAAAAATTCACTTACTCGTAGTACTCCGCTGCCGGCGTGATCTTGTACTTGGCGTAAGACGTGCCGTTGCCGAGGACGGATCCGTTGATGGCTTTGGGGTCGGTGCAGTTCGGGCTGTTCCATGGGTTGCCGCACTTGAGCCACGGCAGCTCGCTGGTCATGGAGGAGAACAGGTAGTAGAGGGACCAGGCGATGATGACGTTGTAGTAGAAGCCAACATACAGGGCTATGATGATCACAGTGTAGCCCACACCTGAAAGCAACACAGGGTTATTAGAGAGGAAGCAGAAAAGTGTCGTTTACGCTCACACTGTGCTGTTATATTCAGGTTGTTGCATGTTGTACAGTCAGATAAATAACTCAAACGAACACAGTGCTTTTTTTTTTCATTGTTGTTGAGCAATACAGTACAAATTCATTTAATACACACTTGTTTTAGTGGTACAAATGTGTTACCTTCAGGTTCCACAATGTGATCCCCCCCCCAAACAATATGGGAAAATTCACGTAACAATAAGGAAAAAAAAAAGGGCATTTCTGCCATTTTTCTGCCGTAAAATCAATAAATGGCACGAGCAATCACAAGCTTCGGTATAATTGTTCTTATCGTCCTTTCCTATCTGAGGCCACATGCACCTTGCGACATGTTTCTCGTCCCCTTCATCATCTTATCATCACCATGACATACTCTTATTTTTCCATCAGTGTTGCAGCGAAGGGGGGACATGTAAAAAAAAAAACTGCCATCTAGCCAACTTCTCAAAAGTTGAAATAGTGTTCCCACGCAAACACCCACATGGCATTAATGGCTACTTTCCATCATTCCATCATTCATCATCACCTTTTTTGTTTTTTGTTTTGTTTTGTTTGGTAATTCTGGCATGTGTTCTTTTGTCTCTACTGGAATGTGATGTCCTCGCATGAAACAGTGAGTCTCTTAAACTAATCACCCACTCATTCTTGTGCAGGAAAAAAAAAAACAGACCCACCTTAGAACTGAAGCCAACGAAAGCAGCGGCTGCTGTTGTTTCAGTAGCAAATGCAGGGGTGCTTATTGGTGTTTGAAAGTTAGATCTCCTCGACTCGTTAAGCCAAGTGAGAAGAGTTAGACGGGTTTCAAGGTTTACGGTTAATGTCATATTACAGGCAAAAAAAAATCCCGTTAATGCTCAGTTACTTGAGATAACTTGATGAATGATAGATTAGATTTTAGTCAACATAAATACATGACGGTCAGTTTGGTTTTTGAATAGGCTCATGATGTTTCTCTGTAGTAGATTATATAATTGATCAAGTTGGACTTTAGATTGTTTTTGTGACAGACTTAATTATTTGACTTGGAATTACAATAAACATGAACTTGACCTTTGCACAAACATAGACGGGGCATAAGGTTGTGAGTGCAATCGGAGAGATTACAAAAAAAATTACAGAGTTGAAAGAACCACTGTGACAGATTTTTGTTACAAGTGACACTTATGGACCTCTGAGGGGGAAAGGACAGGAACAAGGGGATGAAATTAAAGGGCAAAACACTGGAGAGAAGTCAAAAGACCACAGCGGAGCTGTAAGTAGCACAGTTTAAGAGGTCAGAGAAAGGCTGAAAGTAACATGGACATGCGTGGTAGTGTGTGCAGTTGTGTGTCTGGGTGTGTAACGGTTCACCTTTAAAGACAGGGCAGATTTTCCAAACCGTAGCTGCCCCTTCCCTGTTGTACTGGCCCAAGGCAAGTTCCATGTAGAACAGCGGCATCCCCGCAATGACCAAGAAAAGAATGTAGGGAATCAAAAAGGCACCTGGAAAAAGAGAGATAACCACACTTGTATGCTTTTTTTTTGCTAATTCCACATCAGTGTAACTCATTGCCTTCCTTGTGTAAACAATGTCGGATGGCGGCTTCATTTTGAAGTCAGTGCCAGATAAAACAAGATGCCCCCCCAAAAAAGAAAAGTCAAACAAAGAGCGGTAGGGGGGCTCTGACAGTCTTGGAAAAATAGCACGCCATAACGTACAAGTGCGAAGGCTCACAGCTATTTTCACACCGTGCCTCAGCAACACATCCACCAACACGGAAATGACCTCTCATAATTGTTCTTGACATTGTCCATCACAAATGACGCATTATCCGCAGTAATGAATACATTTTGCTGAGGGCCAGAATGATTGACGGGCCGGCGGTGGAGGTGACCACTGAGAACACTGAGCACAACATGTTGATTTTGGCCATGTGAATGGATTCGCAGACAAACAGAGGACAGGGCACACCTTCTAGTGAGCACTCTGTTGTCACGAGGGTTGAAGGTAACACAACATTGTGTTTAAAGCAATCCTTTGTTGGTTCAGCCACACACACTATATTTTTCTCTCACTACAGCGCAGCTTCAGTAGTTTCAAATAAGTAAATCTGAGCTCAGACGCTTGTTTTTAATGACAGTGAATGCATATTTTAAAGCACACATTAGAAGCAGAACAATTTATGGTACTTTTCACGTGGATGCGAAACTTTTCGTGCATCAGTGTGAAACGTTTCAGGCCAGTTTTAAAGCTACAGCGGCTTTACATGTGACCAGTATGACAGTAAACATTCTCAACGTTATGCAAGCGAAAAACTTTCTCGTTCATTGTCAAAGCTTTTGGTGACACATCATGTTCAATTTAGACTACATGCGCTCTCGTTTTGAAACATTAGAGAGAAAAAAACGCATAGGGTGAAGTGTTTTCTACAGTTTCAGTGGTGGTTATCTTGTATCCAGAACTGGCCAGTAAAACCAAGCCCCCACAATTCTATCTTTATATTTTCAAACACAGATTACCGGATGTTCAAACTTTACATTCAACTGCTTCCCATAAACCCACTTATCATTCTTCAGTTAGTTCTTGTCACTTCTCATGATTTGTCTGACAGTCTCAAATTATACAGCTCAGTTGTGCATGCTCTGCTAAAATGAGGTATTTCCGTCATCATGAAAACCAAATCCACGTCCCATTAGTGCACCTGGGACTATCAAAGGATATTACAGCAGCTGAGAGCAGAACAATAGCAGTTACATCTAAATAGAATCTATTTCAAGCATTGCTGTAGTATTTACTTTCTTAGCCAGTTTCACAGACTTTTGAATCATTTAAAGGTAAAATAAATAAATAAATACAACACTGACCACTAAATGCAACAAGTCATTTCACTATGGGTGTTTAGATCAATTTGCAGTACCTGTGCTGCTCATTCATTTTTTTGTATTTAGCGTTTAAGAGCAGAACCTTCAGCTCACTAAGTTTGGAAAGCTCACCAACATTTTCAAGCATCTGCATGAGAACATTATAAAACACGTAGTTTACTCACCTCCTCCATTTTTGTAGCACAAGTAAGGAAATCTCCAAACATTGGCCAGGTCCACCGCGAAGCCAATGACCGACAGGAGAAAGTCTATTTTCTTTCCCCAAGTTTCTCGTTCCTCGTCGGATCCGGGCGGACCTGCGCGGTGACCAGGGGTGGGAATGATGGTGGAACTGGTGTACTGGACGCCATTCTGGTCCTTCACCAGTATCAGTTCTACCTCTTTTTTCTCCACATTGCACTGTTTCAGCGGGGCCACCGACGAGAGCTTGTGTTCTGGCAAAACCTGGATATTCATTTTCTCTGCGGTGCGTACGAAGCCCACGCCGGCGCGGTGCTCTCACGGCCCCCTGCAGGTTCTGACGGAGCTGGTGGTCTGAGTCGGTGCGCTCGGATAAGGACCGCTATCCCGCTGACAAAAATCGGATAAGCAAGTGTTCTCCACCGGCACTACAGGTGACACCTCCGCGTACATCGGCTAGAGAAGAGGGGAGAGAAACAGAGAGTTTGGAGAGGTTTGGTGTCCGTGCGTAAAGTTACGCACAGCAGAAAACAGATTAGGACTGCGAGGGAAATATGAGACATTATTACTCCTAAAGCATCTAAAGTCTGTGTGCTACTAGTCTAAGTACAGCATTAAGACAAAACAGTGTGAGTGCAGTCTGATGTGCAGCAATAGCAGGTGTCAAGTGAAAGATACTTCAGAGCAAATTCCTCTCTACGTCACCAGGCGCGCTGAGCGCATTGTGCGCTGAACAATCTGCTCATAAAACAATTAGCTTAAACATTACTCATAAGGATAATGAGAGAGATAAATGGCTATTTGAATTTGTCACCGACACTAAAGCAATTTAAAGCCGTGCAAAATGAAAAGGCTTTCCTCCATACGTGGTAAAGCTAGGGACACCTCTCCATGACCCGATGCTGCTGTTGTCCAGACGCATCTGAGGGAAGACTGCCCATTCTGAAGGAACTTTAAGACTCGCCTTCTCCAGCAGGCACGATATCAAATGCGTGCTTTAAATCGGTTTTCTCTCTCTCTTCCACGTGATATTTTATAATTGAACACTTTCTCTCCAGTTTGATGTCGACTTGGCATGACCATCTTTAGGATGAGCTCAAGTTCCCATAAACTTCATCTACTTCTGGTATTAAGACTAATCCACGTGGAGTGGAGCCTAATATGACAATGCGATTTTTCTAAAAATCGAACGTGTTGTTCAGAGATAATAATACCAATAATAACAAAACACGCAGTCTAAACTTGCTTAATCGTGTTTATTTATTTGACCAAGAAGTTTTTGGGGTGGAGAAGAGGATAAAAAAAGATAAATAAATTATGTATTTGTGTATCAGACCGGAGCTTGGATTTAACATTGTGCAGCAGATATAAGATCACTTTCCGCTCAGGTTCCTACAGTACTTGAATTTAACATACAACAAAACTTTTTTAATGTTTTAATTTGAACTTTATCTGTTTCTTCTCTGTACTAAACAGATTGAATTACAGTTTTCTAAGAAGCCGTAAAAGCACTGTGTTCCATGTGTAATTCAATTCTACAGCAGCTTTTGCCGGGGGCAATGATTTCTATTAGATATGGTTGATCAGTTCATCCCATTAAAGTCAATGAATGTCCTCTTTGCTCTCCAGTGCTTGTTTTATAAAACCCTAATAGGGTTGGTTTTGGGTGTTTTGTTTGTAAGGATTGAATAACTGCAGTGATGGTAAAGCAAGAGGCCAGGTAACAAGGGAGGATACGGCATTATTACTGTTGTTTTCTCCTGAATTAGTTACATTTTTGCAATTTATTATGCGTCGTCAGCTACATTTGAATATGCAACTTGTAGCCAAGACTCACTACTGATTTGTGTTGTGTGATTGTGTGTGCCAGGGAGTGCATGTCTGGTGTTATGTTCAACAAGTGGGCTTTCTCAGATGTCTAAGTAAGGAACAGTAGCATATGCAGTTTAATGGAAGCTGTCCTCACAGTCCAGGTGCATGTTGCAGAAAATGGACAGTAACAAGTATACACTGCACCCATAACCTTGGACGAGCTGTGTCCACGGAGGAGTACAGAACTGCTCAAGGCAAAATGATATCAGCCTTCACCTTTTACCTTGATCATCTCGGATCCCTTATTGTGGCTGTGAACGACTCCTGAGACCTCCCTTCTCTCTCTCTCTCTCAAGGTTCGGGCTCTCCCCCGTCGACCTTAGGATGAGAAGCTAATAAAACACGACGCAGCCTCTCAGCAGCCACAATACGACCCTCTGGATTTAACCTGAGCATGTAGTTGAGGTCAAAGCACAGGTTTTCTTCCTACCTGACTGTGCCTGTAAAGCTACTTCTTTACAAATGTGCATGCGATGACGATAACCTGCAGCTTCGGTCTGAGTAAGAGCTACATCATAAAAAGCTCCTTAACTTCACAGGGCGCGTATAAGAATGTTTTACGGCACAGCTTAAATGAGATTTTTCCAGATTGTCCCGTGTATGTGTGGGTGGGGATTTTAAATTTGTGCTCATTGGTAATTAAAAGAATAGCATTCTGACATTAAAGACCTTCCTCCTGACGAATGAAAAACTACAAAAAAATGTTCTTTTGTCATTCCTCAGACTTCAGGTCATGACTACGTGGCAGTTAGGTCATGGCATTAGCACTGAGTGGGGTTTGTTTTGTTCTGCACCCCATTAAAGCTCTCTGGTTTAAATCTTTTAAGTGTCATTAAGCTTCTCCCTCTGGGCTTTACTAGTATCTGCAAAGATTTAAGTACCTCAGCAATGTTAAGTCTTTTTCCCTACATGCTGTTATACATTGAGTGAGAAAAATAGTCAGATGTCCGGCGACGGAGAGCCGCAACTCTCGACACATCTGGGAAACGTGGCTCATGTTAACTAAAAAGGTGCGAGCTAGTAGAGTGGCTTCTTTTACTTTAGCCAACAATCTGTGAGAACGTGGTGCTCAAAATGCATAAAATAATAACTGGGGTCTTTTTTAGCTGTCTCCTTCATCTATATGTCAAAGGGCTTTATGCCATCCTTTCAATCCCCAAGCAAGTGGTGAATGAAGAACACAATAGGGGGTACATACAAGCTGACTTTGAATGGTGGGTAGTAATTAGGGGGCACAAAAAAGGGGGGGAGGCCTGACAGCGTGAGGGTTGGCGTGATTGCTGTTTGAACTGTGAGAGTGGCTGGAAAAAAAAAAGGGGGGGGAAAAAAACAGGCTGTGGTTGATCAATAAGTCTCATAGGAAAAGACAGTCATGTTAAGATTAGAATCAGAATTAACTTATCACCTATAAGAGACACATTCAATTTCCATACGCTCATTTCTGTTTTTCTATTATGTAAGTGTTGCATAAGACACAGTGTGGAGCAGTCATGGACACTGTACCACATCATAGTTTCCTTCACTGGATTCCTAGAAGTAAGAGGAGAGAAACTGGTGAGAGTGATTGTTTTTTCCTTGTCTCGTGGGGCTAATAGGGATGAGTTTGAGTTTGTTTGGAAATCGTAAACATTTCAAGTTATTTGGCTAAAATGCAAATATCTTATTCCCAACCTCCCTCTGACCCATCTTTGTATATCACACAGGAAAACTTGTTGCCCGTCATTCAGAAAATATCTGGAAAAGAATCAAACAAAAAGATGTGAAACACCCAAAAACAGTGAGCGAGGAAACAAACGTTGGCCTGCAGATATACGGAGCAGATACCGGTGCTGGATGACTGGTGTTTCACACGGTTCCTCAAACTTTGCCCTCATCGGGACCTTCGCTGTTCCTATAAACCATCACATGGGAAATGAGGAACAATCACTTTCCTGAGAATATAATAGGAGAGAGAAAATCAACAAGGTGTCATCTGGTGCGATAAGGAAAAGTAACAATGAGATTTGGAGGAACTCCCTGAAGAGTTGAAGGCGATGGACTGCCAGGCTCCAAACCCCGCAGGAGTCAAGGGTGGTGCGAAGATGTGCGTGAGTGTGTGTGTGCTTGAAGGGAGTCACAATGAAAATGTCTAAATATCCACCCCATGCCAGTGTCTGTAAAAGTAAACATCCCTCCGGAGCAGCTGGACAAAAGCCATGTCTGCTCCGAGAGGGGACGAAGCCGTGGGTTCATCGTCACAAAGATACGTCAAGCTGCCAAGCATTGTTGAAACTTTACTTTAGATTTTTGTTGCGCGTCCCGAAGTTTGTCGGATACTCATTCTGCCATGTTGTCTAGTGGAAATATGCACAAGATAACGTACAAGACATGTACAAGGTGCTTTGAATCAGACATATAGCCTGAACATGAGCTTTTCAAAGCATAACTCCGGGCATGTGTACTTCTTTGTTCCATCCAGCATTTACAGTAGCCAGCAAATTCCCACTATTTCTCTAACCTGTAAGCTAATGTTCTTGCACATGTTGCTGCTTTTTGTTTTTTTTCTTTTTTTGGAAATCCTGCATGCGTGTTCGTCATACAGGAGGAAAGAGGGGTCACAGAAGTGTATATACACACCCAGGTATCCTGTTATTATGGGCCGGAAAGTCTTATCTATAGGAACATGAAAATACCTGTGATTTCTTCCTCTTATGCAACATCCCTAAAACAACCTAACAAAGCTTAATTGCTGTTTATTTTAATTATCTGTTGAAAAGAAAAGTGAAAAGACAAAAAAAACTGTTCTGTTGTACTTTGCTAGTCACACGGGTAAAACTTGGATGTATGTTTTTATAAAGAGGTAAGAGGATGTAGAAAATTAGAAGGTGTTAGAGTGGCATTTACCTGGTACGCTAAAAGTTGAACCTGTCAGCACTAAAACTAAATCACCCCCAAACTTTGTGAAATAAACGGCCGACTGAATCTTAATTTGCAGAGTGGACCTCAGCCAGGCCTCGTCTCGATTTTGCCCGAGCGAGCCGGCCTACCTGGCTAAATTGAGGCGCATAGTTGTGTCACATCAATTTAACGCTGAGGCCTGTCGGTTCTGACCTTTTCCTTCCAGCCCGGCACAGTGAGTCCTCCGACCGTTTCGAGGCCTGCGTCCGGCTTGCATCCACAAACAGAGGCTGCTCACTCACTCGGGTCCTGAGGAGACCAAATCAGATTACCAACACATATCTCCCACAATCTACTGCGACAGGATCACCCCCCAGGCAGGGCTGAAATGGATACAGCAATATACAACAGCCATCCAGAGGAGAAGCAGGCAGGATGGAGGGGCGTGGGGGCCAAAGAGGAGAGCGGGATCCGTGGGTAGGGAAGGAGTCGCGCTGCTGTACGAGCGGCAACAATGTGATTTAATTGATTCCATGCCATCTCATTAATTTTGATTAAAATGAAATGAGCCTCTGCACGTTTGAAAAGGTTAAAACAAATTGAAGGTGGAAATCACAGCTGGTAAT